TTGGAGTACCACAACAGGATAAAAAAATCTAAATTCGCTGACCAGAACCACAGTTCTTTCATTTCAATCTGGTTGGGAAAAATTAACTTTCTGTAACTCTCGATTCCCCCATTGAAGATTTAAGACAGATATTAGGATCGAGGAAATCGTCCCAACCGCCTGTAGAACGATCACCAACACACACACACACATGTTCGAAAAACATCCGAGTTCTATACGATGTCATCATCCCAGCGCCTTATAATTGCTTATAACGTGAGATGAACCGATTAAACGACTTGAGAAAGGCCTTCCAAGAGGGTCGAAACGTTTTTTACTTTGTTGCCTTGTGTTTTGGTTTTTCGTTCGTCCTGGCTAAGACAAATTAATTTCCTCAATAATCACGAGCACGACGCCCAAGTTTTTCAGTGATTAGATTTCGGATAATTTTCTAATCCATGAAAACTGATTGTGATTAACTCACTTGGCTAAATTAGTTAGTTCCAAGACGGGGAATGGTTTTGAATGGAAGTAATAATGGAGGTATTGATAAATTTTGTCATCCCGGTCAATTGTTTCGTGATAGCGCTAACGGTAGAATCGCTTTCTATTTGGTAAACTCTGAGTTCGATACCAATCAGAAGCTAATAGCTGAACGCTTTTGATGCAACACGATAAATGGGAGAAAGTTTAGCTAGGTAACCCGACCTCTCTTTGAAAAGATTTCACCTACTAGTCAACAAGTTCTGTTGGACAAAAGTAACGATTTAAGTACTATTTACAATTCTATTAAGTGCAAGTCAAAGTAGTAGGAGATTGAATTTGATAAAAAGATGCATTTTATCTGAAACACAATAAAAGGCGTTCTATCGTTAGGGCCCGGATGATGTTACGCGGTGTGGTTGCCACTACTGTACAGTGACCACGGTTTTCCAGTTTATGTTTACTTCATCCGGTATGTAACGAAATTCCTCATGCTATTCACTTGGTCACTCTGAGCGAAATCACAGGTTTTCTGGACTGAATAAAATCAAGCATTAATGTGTAATGGTGTTAGACACTTGAATTTTGCACTTTTAGTGATGTACATCAAAACGTGTGCACCTCATCGGTCAAATTTTCTGGCATAAGAATTTAACAGAATTTCGGAAAGAAAGAGCGGATTTGTGTGACCTCGGTTACACCAGCATCAACGAGAAAGTACCTCATTCAAGTGACAAAATAAATGTCTGCCCCCAAAGGTGCAAATTTTTATGTACAATATGCGTTCGGTGTTTTCCTGTTCATAACGTGATTTTCCTCTCTATATATCCGTGCCGTTTTTATTACGCGCTCAAATGTGATGAACAGTGAACGGGGCGAACCCTATAGTCACGAGGATCTCCTATTTACAGGGGGAACCCAGCAAACTAAGCCCCGGGACTTGAGAAGTCGAACCACAAAAAGCCTCTTTAGGCTAGGCATGCTATTGATACATAATAGATATTTGCATTTCTTGGTAAAAATTATCATTTCCAGTGCGTTGATTAAACTAAAAACATAAAATTCTTCATACACCCTAAAAATCCGTCTCATAGTTGAGTTTTCTTTCATTCTTGGTGAGGAATTTGGGACTGACCGTTATTTCGGACTCATGTTATCTGTGGTTTGAAACGAGAATTTCCTTGTTTTCCACTGACTCTCTCGTTATATGCCAACCATATGCACATCTCGATGGCTGAATAACTATTCATTGTCGATAATAGTTTGAAACAGACTATCTCACCGACTGCATACACGCAGTCCGACACAATATTTTCAACACCGAACTACAGTAATGTTTTACTCTACATTAGTTTATTGAGTCCAAACACCTCCATGAATTATCAGTTTGACTAAACGACAGTGTTTTGTTTATTTTTCATATGCCCTCGAAACCTCACTTCAAGCTCCATCCTTAGTTTTTAAATCGCATTCATCATGGATTTGGATCACGTGCTCGAAGAAACGTTTAACAAGCTGGATAAAAATGGTGATGGCTTTCTGAGCAAAGGAGAAATTGAACAGTGTTTGGAAAAGTTTGGATTCAAAAAAAATCGAGCAAAGGTGAGTCAACTTCAGGTACCCACATTCACAAACCATCACCTGCCTTGTCAAGGTGGATAATTTCACACGTGTTCAGCTCTCCATCAGGGTACATCATTACAACAGTGCCCTTATCCGTGAACAATGAATCAATAATTGCGGAAGACAACTGTTTCGCTTACGCTGAAACAATCCATACACGAAAGAATGCGCTACGAACGTAAACACTTTGCAGTCATACGGATGGAGATGGTATTGACTTTTAGATGTTCTATGGTAGAGAATAGCTTAACTTTTAGCTCAAACTCTTTGGACAATCGATACGGATAATGTGCATAAACTATCGGATCCGGTTCCAGCGAGAGTTGTCTCACCATCATTGAGTCAACGTTGATGTTGTGGAGTCCGAATAGATTGAAACCGATCTGACGGTGACTGTTGAGCGGAACCCATGGAGTTGCTAATCTTTGCATTGAAACACAACCCAGTTTCTCTCAGTTTCATGATACATTTGTTCTTCCGATTACCATGTTGTTGATACAATATAATTGTCAACCTAAACAAAAGCTTCCGGGTTCCAAAAAGCCAGAGAGCAAACTTAAGTCAGTTTCACAAGTTCGTGTTCCCACTGACGACGAATAGCCTGATAAACAGGGAACTTCTGACCGTACCATAGGTACAATTGAGCAAGATGGGTGACTGAAGTCAGCAACATACGGCCTGCCTGGTGTGTCAGTTTGGAGGCTAACCGAGCCAACTATTCATCTGACGTCCAAAACGAACAAACAACCAAAAACGTCCACATTCTTGGTGGCCTATTTATTTGTTCAGATCAATTCAATCAATTTATCCGTATGTGCGGTTGCCTATTGAGGTGACTGATAGCTGACTGTGCCATCCGAAAGTTGGCTTCTTCTCTGTTCCTTACGGTTTTAGTTAAGAAACATGTGCTCGTTCAATCAGTACATACAGGCGCAAATAAAACAGAACCTTGGTAAATCCCTGGGAAAACCCCAAAAATAAGTTTGTTCATGAAACAAACTAAACTTGAAACATTGTCTCGACAAGATCGCCGGTAGAACTTGGAACAACCTTAGTCTAGTAAAGTGCACACGCCGTATGCATCCTTTGCAAATTGTCACCGGTATTCATCACCATTATGTGTGTACAGCATTGTACAATCGATACCTCTGTCACAATTCCTTGGTATGTTTTCAATAAAACACCTCCAGATGGAATGTTTTGCTTTCTGTCTGTCTAATGTGTTCACACTCGTTGAACGCCTATTTCTCTCTATCCGATTCCGGTTGGCAGGAATTCATGGCCTTGTACGATACAAACAAGGATGGAAGGATCTCCCGGGAAGAGTTTCTTCAGGCAACCACCCGTAAAGTTAGTGACAAAGATTTTGCGTAAGTTTTATTCGGATAACATGACACCGGTTGTTTGTATTCGCGTACTAAACGTTATTCTCTAAGTGGAGCTTGTTTCAGTGATTTAAACCTTGATTTGGATAGAGACATACCCCATTGAGCAACTGTGACCAAGAGGACGACTACTGTTGCTGTTGTACAAAAAAGGAAACTCATACCTGCAAACGGTGATTATATATACAGTTCTAATCCATCAAACCCCCTCTTTGAAAAAAAAACTAACAAAAATAGATACCACTGAATTAGAAGCACCTATATTGCACATTCACCGAGCTTCTGACTGTCGAGCAGGGCTTTTAAGAAGCTACTCCAGATAGACCTAGCGGTCGATTTTACTCAGAACCCATGGCACCATTGAGCGTGTGCGCATCCAACAACCGTATAGTAGATGGGAATGGTACTATAGCAGTTTCTATTTTCAGTGAGTTATTTCCTGAAACTGGTATTCACTGGTTCAATCAATGCTCAATTGTGTTCAACTTTACAAGTAGTCAACTATCAACCTGTAAAACTACACACCGTTTTCATAGGTCAAGGCTACCAGTTGGGTTTACATAACGATAACAGTTGAAATTAATTTTTTAACGTGCGGATTAGCACACATAACAAACGGAGATGATGATCTTTCGCGGTTGACTCACAGTTACTTGTGAGTAGTGGTCTGGGATAATTGATATTGATTGATTTGAACGGACTTCACCTTCACACACAATCCTCAATTGTTCCAGTCAACCATACTTTCGGAAGTACTAGACTCAAATTTCGCTCTTATTGCAGCTCATCAGTGGTACATACCCACCATCCCGTCCGGTATCACTGAAGACGACACCTGAACAACTAAGAATTGACAATTTGGTTCGGCCATGGTATGAGCTGGTTCGCACAGTAATATCGCACACGCCTTCCATGCGATGGGTTCGGAGTTCAAATACCGGAAAGGATGGTGGGTATGCACCACTGATGAGCTTCAATGAGAGCGAAACTCGAGTCTAGTACTTCCGAGTGTATGGTTGACTGGAACAAGGTGAAGTCCGTTCAAATCAATCAATATCAATTATCCTAGACCACTACTCACAAGTAACTTTGAGTTAAATGCGAATCAACGAAGAAGCAAATAAACGAATCTTGGGTTGACTAAACGTGGGTGAAGTCCACTCACAAAATCTGACCGAGAGAAATGATCGTGAAAGAGAACAAGTCTCGATTGAAAAATGAGTCACTGACTTATGCTTGTGCACATGACTGGAGCAGGCGTGAAATTTTGCTAGCTGATTGCCAATCAGAAACTAAACTAAAGAATGCTTATGTGTACAATCTAGACTAATCAGCATCGTTTAAATCAACCAAGATGACACTGCAGTAGGTGTACACGCAATCCTTACCACCCAAATGTTCAACCAAGTGTATGATTCCTGTGACGCCTAAGACCCTTTTCATTTGTTTGCTTACAAATACGCAAGCTAGTAGGTCTCTAAATTGTTTATCCAACTCGTATGAGCTGCAACCTACATCCCTCTATTTCTCTCAACATGCCAGAACTTAAACAGAAGTAGTAGTCTAAATCTTGCACTGGAAGTTGTTCTACTGAACAAGATGAAAATTATTGTGAACCATTGAATCTTCGGTGTGATGCGAGTGATTGTGGTTCAAGTCAACCGCATATAAAGCAAATCGGTCGTTGTACTGTACTGTATTAAACTGTTACAACTTTTGTAGGCATAAAGCCCACATTTCAGTTAGAAAAAAAATGCAAGCGAGGAGGAAAATAAAAAAATAATAATAATAATAAAATAATAATAATAATAATGAATCCGGCTACTTTTAACAAAGTCTGTGAAAACTTGTTCTATGTTAACTAGAATACGTTCCAATGAGGGTACTGCAGAGTTACGATACATGTTTATTCGAGAGGGAACACAACGATATTGGAATCTGGTTGATGATGGGAACAACAGGAAGTTAGATCTGCGTGTAGTGTATGTGTGGATTAGATAAGAATCTATGTACAAACTTTTCACATGCATTCAAATGACGTTCGCACAGGTTAGTTACCAACTCCTGTAACGAGATTGAAGAGACGCGGCATATGATGGTCAGCCTACATCGCAGCAGTTTGAAATTTTTCTTCTAGAGATCGAAAAAAATAACATGTGAACTATGAAGAAAAACAGATAAAACATAGTGGTATACTCATTGAACAATAATCGATTGATGAATACAAAACTGATGAAGTTCACGTTTTCCGAATATTACATTTGATTTAGCACACCTAATGTTTTACAGGTACTAAACACTGGAATTGGTTAGCTGTGTACGATTTTAGACGCCCGACTCGTCGGTTTGCGGTTCGAGCCCCGACAGAACCAAAACATTAGTACGCAATTCTGATGAATCTCTAGAAGGGATCACTGTCGAATAGCACAAATATTTCTGTCGTGACTATTTGTCTTATATTAAAAAACGAAAATGGTAAAATGAACATTGATTCTTGCCAAACCTCCACCCCACGTGATATCATCAATAAAGTAAGACTTGATGCTTCATTCCTTCTTCTGCTGTTGGCACTACACAGTACTTCATATTTTTCCTGTTCATTTTCCGAGGCATTATTGTTCCCTGTTATTTTCTTCTTTAGATGTGCCGCACTTCGTCGCACGTTTAACGAAATTGACAAAGATAACTCGGGTACAATCGACAGTAAAGAATTGTTGCAATTTTTCAACTCGTCCATGGATGTTGTCATTCCCAGAACTGTCGAACAATGGATCGAAGATCATGACAAGGATGGCGATAAGCAGTTAAACTACGAAGAGTTTTTGGAATTTGCTGCGGAATATTTGTAGAATACATTTCCCGCTTTTCGGACGTCAAAACTGTTGTTCATAGTGGAAAATTTCAGTAATATGATGATCAGCTCATAACATCTGTTGCGCACATCCAAGCGTTCAGAGAATAAACAGTTTTATTCTAGTTTACCAGTAGTCTTGGTGTTCACTTGTGTTGCTGATGGTTTGGAATAGACCATGTCAATTTGCTCCTGTTGACCGTATTACTTTGATCTACACGTTGACTGTACGTGCCCATACCGTTATCGTTTTATCGGACAACACTGGCTACTGACACGCACGCACGCACGTGGTACAGACTAACACATACGTTATGAATGATCTGCTGCGGTCAATCAAGCTCTCTCCGCTGATTGGTTCGTTGAATGCTTCACTGCACAGCTCGATTGCGATCTCCAAACGAATGCAATGTTTCGGTTACCCACATGCCTGTTCGCTTACGTCAGAGGGAACGCACGCAGTTCTGAGATTGACCTAGGTAATTGCTCAAATCATGGTTGAGCAGCTTGCTTGCGTTCGGTGTTCTTCCTGCAATTACGAAAACATGTGGTTTGTATTTCACCATCGCAATAATTAAGGTGCAGGGCCGAAGAACACGGCTACGGATCCCGCTTCTAATTTCGTACAAAAACTTTATCTTCGTTAGAAAATGTGTTTAAAAATCATGAAAAATTGATGAAAACTATCTGCGATGTATTTCGCCTATATCATTTATGGGTAAAAATAGAGATTTGGTGTTAACGACACTGTTATTTACATCTCTGACCCTGACATCTCTTCCGAAAACAAAACTTGAAACCAATCTTACACCGAAACCGAAGGTAAAATCTGGCACCGAGTATGTGCTCCATCGAGGATGATTGGCAGAGTAAAGTTATTGTGACTACGGTCACACTATGCACATATAGTGGACTGTTTACAGATTGGTCATTGTCCCCTTCGAGCCAAGCACATACAGATGTTAACCTTTGAAATGGCTTAGATAATCTCTCCACCAGAATCCACGCAAATGATGAGGAAGCCTTTTCAGTAGTATTAACCAAGACCAAAAAATAGTATAGGTTTTGATCAACTGGACTAAGTTCAGGACTGTGTGTAAACGCTAACCATTTCATCCGGTTGTGCCTTGGCAATATGAATACATTTTCGGGAACTACAGGTCCGAAGGAATTGTTTTCAAATGCTAAATAAAGTCTTTTATCCTGAAATGCACGTGAGGTTTTACGATCTTTGTCATGAGATCCGTTATAGTGTTTGTAAGTAGCGGATACCTACACGTTGAAATTGGTCAGGGGAACCATAAGGGGTAAACTCATAGGTCAAATAAAATCTGTGGAAACACCAAAAGACCAAGCCTCGTCGGGTTCAGTACTGACAAAAAATAAAGGTCAGAAATCAAACTAAAGCAGAATCATCGGGATACTGGAGATTCTGATAGAATTCGTGCTAAACAGGGGAAAGAGACTTTAGCGATGAGTGTTGCCTTAAGACCTACTGAAGAGGTTCTGTCATTATTATCCTACTATTCTCGATATCAGGGACAATGACATGTTATTCAGGGGAACGTATATGGTTCACTTAAAGTTAACGGAAGTTTTGCCCGACTACGCTTAAGAGTCTGAAAGCGAAAGGTTTGGCAAGCGAAGATTGGGCACGTAACTGAAGCACTGGAGGTGGCGGTGACTTAAACAAAATTGAAAGACCTAGCCGAAGAAGCGACCTCAGGATAATGAAGATCCTGGCGGAATTTCTGCCACAAAGGAAGGGGATACACCAGCGAATAGTTCAAGCGACCAATGCCTGTAACCATGCGAAAGCATACATGCGGGATGGGTAGACCAACTCACGAGCAAGTTACACTGTCGGTTTAAGGCGACAATAAAACTAGCGCGAGAAGATAGTGAGAGATACACTGAACCGAAACCCGAAGGCCTCTTGTGACCGGTCTCTGGAAGGTTCCTAGAGTTAGATCTATGCCTTGCTATCTTCTTGGTCAGACTTTTGAGTCAAACGCTTAGGTCAGAATTCGTCACTGTGAGTGACCGCGGGGCAAGTCGTGCCCTAAACTCTTAGACATCCGGTTGGTAATCCCGCTTTCACATCTTTCGAGCTCTCAGTCTCACTCTCTAATCATATTAGTTGTCTATTGTTTACACTACTGATGGGACTCTATACAGCGTCTAACCAGAATGAACCACCAATGAAAAGAAATACCATTAAAATCAAAATGTTTGTTTTACTTAGCTGCATTAAAAGTCTTCGCACCCTGTCGTATCGATCAACGATCTGTCTTAGCTGAAACCATTGAAGCTTTCATTTAGACGTCTAAGAACCACGCATACTTCACTTATCACCCTGTGTTCTACCTGTCCACGTGCTTCCGTTGTCGTGTGTCAAGCGACTCTACATACGACGATCGCGGTGTAGCCGGTGTTGGTGCTCTAAAGGATGAGCTCTCGCTCTTTGATTGGATTTGTCACTAAATGACGTTAAACTGTACGCCTCAGATGAACATCTACGAAAAGAATCTCCAATGCTTGTTCGTTGTTTCCGTATATGCAATAACTGACTCCAGATGAATTTTAGAATCGTATCACACAACTAATCCAAAACTTTTGATCGACGGACATCATGATAGTCGCTGGAGACTTCAATGATCAACTAGGAAATCTGGACAAACCATAAAGATTTCTTGGTAGTCCACAAGCAATCTGAGCCAACCGGAAGGACAACGGAGATTGTCTAGCTTAACTCTTCGCGGACGATGGATTGTTTCCGTCGACCATCAGCTTCAACAACTGGCACGGCTTCAGATGGAAACCCTCCGCTTCTTCACATCACTATCAGCTATCACTGACGCAGATGGATTCACTGCTAGTCTCACTGGTAAACATTCATGGACACGAATCGCGTTCTGCTAAAAGTGAAATTCTTCCTGATTCTGATAAATAATCACAATAAAGTGACCGAAAATGGATTGTTACAGTACTGGGAACGGTGTTCGCCAATGAATCTCTTTTCGATATATCTTATCAAGTGGTTACGTATATAAGGCGATCATAGTACTCATATCTGATTGGCCGATTAAAGCTCAGTTTGTAACGATGACAGAGGCTAGTAAACAGAGCAATCAGATGACAAGACCAGTGATAGTCAATGCTATAGTTATGGAGGGGATGAGAGGACAAAGGTCAAATAAAAAGAGTTGGAGAGATGAACTAAGACGATAGACTATAAACTGTATGTCATCCATAGCAAGTGATGCAATCGAGACGGGATACTGGAGAGAAAAATAATTCATTGGTAAGATTCGGGTAGATGATGCTGAATGAGGGGGTGGCTGGGGAACGGGTTGATGCTCTGTTTTACACACATTCAATCCGCTGTCCCGACCAGGGGAACTATACTGTCCGCACCGTTTTTTCGCTCTTAGAACTCTGGATTAACAGTACAAATTTCCATGGCCTTGGCCATGGATAAAATCCGTCTTGGTATTCCCTCAGAATATCTCCGTGGTATAGTGTGAATAATTTTGAGTGCATCCAACTTGTTCACAACATTCTCTCTATCGACGAGATGACCAAGAACTGAACTGCGAATGCGCCTAACTGTTCATTTGTAGAGGACCGCAGGACAGTGCTCAGCAATACGTTTTGATAATCGCCTGGTCGTATGTTCAATGTATGACGCACTACAAGAGCACGTGAAAAGATGTACAACGAAGGATTTTGGCTGATGAGGCAAATGATGTTTTGTCTTTTGGGGCATTAAACGCGAATGGGTAGTAAGGATATATGGTTGAGCGGCATGGAACCTTCTAGACATCACTTTGGATAAACTTACTTTGAAAAGTTTCACCTCATCATTGCTCTTAAACGGCACGGGAAAAGAAAACCGTTCTTGTGAGGAACGGGAGTGCTTTTGATTCAGTAAGTTTTCAGTCGCCCACGTTTATCGATAAAGGATTCTGGGCAAATATATGACCGAATCACGTCATGAATAAAACGTAGCTTGGACTGCAATACATGAACCGTGCAAAGCGCGTCGCTCGGTACGATAAACATCTGACCGGGTTGCTTTTGCATGTCAAGGGAACAAAGCTACAAAAATGCATGCAATGGGTCGGGGTTCAGAGCCTGAATACGCACTACTGATGAGCTCTAATAGGAGCGAAACTCGAGGCTAGTGCTTCCGAGTGTATGATTGACTGGATGAACTGAGGATTGTGCATGAAGGTGATGTTCGAAGGATAGTCAGTTTAAATCATTTCCAATTATCCCACACCACTATTCACAAGTAACCGTGATTTAAATGCATATTATCTTGTATTTGCTGGAAATCACACTTTCTTCACAGTCTAACTGTATTTTTGCATAATTTCGTTTTTGTCAGCCGAATGTGAAATTTGGTTTACTCACCTGCACTCGTTTTTATCCGTTACCTATATGCTTCAAAAGAGATTTAAGTTAACGCCACGCAACTACAATACATCTCTGTTGCCACAAGTTTTCAGATTTAACCAGTATCCTACTGACCCCTAATGATTCTTTGACGTTATTTCTTTGTTGCTCGATATATATTTAACTCAGATATTATCACAACACACGCCATGACATATCAGAACAAGGCATTTGCTCGATACGGTAGCGTTCTGTCCAATGTATTGCGTCTCCCATGTTCAGGAGATTTGGTTTGCAGCCTTAGTTTTCCTACTAACATATAAACATAACAAATCCATTTTCCCTAGTTGCGTTCACGTTAGACGCTAGTCCCGGTGATTAACGACTTTCACTAGAAGAACTGTTGTTCAAACCCACAGTGGACTAATCATTCATCAACTTTTGTCCGATCACTTCCAGAGTGACAGTAAATAGAACCAGCACCTAGTTTATCTAAGGTCTCGCTCTCCGAACCACGAGGTTTTGATTATGGGCAAAGATTTGGATTGAATCGTCTCCAGTCTACGTACAAACTAACGTAACCACCTTACTGGATGG